CTTGCAGCAGAGTTCTGAACAAAAATTACACTCTGCTTGTTTCCATGGCGCCTCTGACCAATGAAATCCGACCGGTCAGCAGCTGCACCCCTCAGGTAAGCTGCACTCACCCAAGAGCAGGAACAGTAGTGCCCGAGTTCTGTATTCTCTCAGGGTGACTGGAGGAAGTGGTTTAGCAGTTCTGGCCATTAAATCTCAGTTTGCAGATAGCACCTTCTAAAGGTGGCAATTCAGGAAGCAATTTTGGTATTTTATGCTATTGTAAGATAAGACTCTTTCCATTTCTGAGGTCTGATTGGCTTATTTTACTATTTAGTGACTGTGACACATAGGTTAAAATTTTATTGTAATATTTTATGGAGAATATTCCTGGATGTTCTAAGCCTTGATTGCTTTGAGTGATGAAATAAATCTAATTAGGAAAATTGCGTTAGAAATGAAACAATAATGCTAAACAAATTAAAAAGGAAATCTTGCCCTTGAAAGCTAGAACTGTTCTTAACCCAGCTATGCAATTTATGTGTGAAAATTAGTTTTCATCTCCTACTTTTAAAAAAGAAATTTGTTGCATTTAAAAATAGTTTAGTTGCATTGGAATGTGCTTACTTAATAAGAAAGTTGTGAGGCCCCCTTTTCCGAGGGAGGCTATGTTGCTTATGTCCAGTGCTTCACACTACCTGGTTTTCTAGAAGAGTGCAGGGTTTAATAGTGTGAGACAAGGGAAAGGTGGTGGTTGAGGTGCCTAATTTTATTGCCTGGAGAGTTCCAGCTGCTTCCATGGGCAATCTTTCCCCACTCAAATTTTGTCCCCTTTGTAGCTTATACACTTGCACTTACTAACCTTTTAAAATTTTATCTCCATCCATTCTTTCTTCCCCATCTTCCTTCTATCCTTTAATGCCTTCTTTATAGGAAACCATTAACTGTCTAAATGGCAGGATAGATGTGTGGATGAGGCCTCTCTTAGGACAAACCATATGTCATTCATAGCTTATATGCCACGTACTATTTAAAGTCTTTCAGAACAACTTTGCAATGCCCTTACACAATAGTTGCTGTTTTATAGATGAGCAAACTGAGGTGCAGAAAAGTTGGTTAAGTTACCTTTATAAAGTATTGTGACTAGAGTCTAGATTCAGACCCAGACAGTCTGCACCACAGTCCATGCTCCTAATGACAGTAATGAGATAACATGCTTTATTCATTCTAGGATAAAATTGTAACTATTTGAATAGAGAATGGACAGTTTTTATAAGAATCATAGAAATTACCTTTGAAAATGAGACATGAGTTGCTTTATGTGAGACTGTCCCTAGGCACTAAAGAAATGTGGCTCTTTATCTAAGTATACTGCTTGTATCTCCCCTCTTTTGTGATTGTAGCATATTGGACCAGCCATCCCGGAAGTCAGCTCTGTCTGGTTTAAACTGTACATTTACCATATCACTGGGCAAGGACCACCATCTCTCTTACTGTCCAAAGGTACAAGGCTTCGAAAACTGCCAGATATATTCCAGGTATGTTGCGTGAGGTGTTCTTGTACTTTGGAGGAGGGTAAACATTGTTGATGAGTATTAAAGATTATTTTCTGAATTTTTGCTTTTTTTATTTCTGAGTGCCGTCTGTGTTTCTTGCAGGGTTATGATCGATTACTGATTACATCTTGGGGCCATGATCCTGGGGTGGTTCCTACTTCAAATGTGCTCACAATGCTGAATGATGCTTTAACACATTCTGCAGTTTTAATACAGGTACTGCCACCTTATTTTAAATAAGCTGAGTTTTGTGTTTTAGATCATAATTTGTTTAGTAATTTGAAACTTAAAAAGACTCGAGATCTGGGTTTTAGTCTGGGTCCTTTGTCTAGGTAGTAAAAACAACAAGGACTTTGAAGTGAGAAATTCCAGGCTACCCTATGTTGGCTATATGACTATTAACATTTATCAAGATTTATTCCACATCCCATAGAGTTCACTGCTTTAATCAGTGGAGATCACTTGCTTTTGGTATATTCACAGAATGTGCCACCTTCAAGACAAGTTTTGAATATTTTCATAACCCCCCAAAAGAAAGCTTTTCCTATTACTCTCTTAACTATTCTTTGCCCCTTTCTAGAACTGCTTATTTTGAATATGTCCTTTAAGTTTTACCATCCTGCTAATTAAAAAAATTGGTTAAGGATGGTTTTTTGGAATTAGCCTTTTCTGCAAAGAAATGATGAGAAAACCTGTTTTTAGACCCTTGTAAGCATTGTAGTCTATCATAGTCCAAGAAGAATCTGGAGTGTGGCAGACCTTGGTTGTCTTGCTGGAGAACTTACATTCTAAACTCCAGGTAACGGCCACTTTACAAGGCTTAGCTAAGCAGAGTTAGCATGGCCGATGTATTTTAGGAAGGTCAGTATGGACGCTGTGTTGACAATGGATGGGAAAGCGGGTAGCTTCCTAAAAAATAAGACCAAGTACACTTTCGAGTATTAGTTAATATAAGAGACGTGTTGTTGTTAAGTGCCGTCAAGTTGCCGGCGACTCATAGCGACCCTATGAAGGAGAGTCCTCAATGCTTGGGTGTCTCTCATCCTCTCTCCAGATTCATAGGGTTTCGGCAAGTTATTATGGAAGTGGATGCCACTCCTCCTTCCAAGCTTGTTTTTATTGGAGAGCTCCACCCCACTCTCTGTCTGCATTGGGTAACCAGCCATTAACAAATTTGACACATCAGTGTCACAGTGTTCAGCCTCACAGCAACCACAAGTTACCGCTGTACAGCAAGTGGACACACCAGGGCTATACGACCTAGAGGAATGTCTTAACAAAAAACAATGAAAGACAGGCCCGAGGGCCACAGATTAAAAGTCACTCACCTTCGGCTTGGTAGCATCGCCTTCTGTCCACTGGGACATTCCATATCCGAGAAATGGAAATGAGAATTGAATGAAATGGATTTAAGAAATGTTAAGAACATGTTTGCGGCCTCATTCAAGAAATTATGTGCTTTATTTAACTAGTCTTCTGTTGATTCCAATTATTTGTCATTATAATGTTATAGCGAATAATTGTATATATGTTATTTTAGCACAGCTTCTAGAGTGTTCCCTTTTTGGTCCCTGGTATGTTATGGGATTATGGGAATCTTCCATAACTTTTCCGTATTAAAATCAAAGCAAACAGCTGGTGTTGTGACAGGGATATTATCCAGTCCTTCCTTGGCTAACACGTGATTTACCTGTTAAATTGCCTCTTGATTTTTCCGTTAGTCCGTGACCCACTTTGCGAAAACGTTGCCTTACAAGTTAATATACATAAACTGTCTTTGCTTCCTATCGCAAGTAGTTGAGAGAATTTTGTGAGATTATTAATATAGACTATCAAGTGCATAGTCTTTCTTTGTAATTTAAGTATTGGAAATACAAGACGTTTTTAATGCTTTTTGTCTTTTGTTTCTTTATGTTTAGGGCCATGGTTTACATGGGGTAGGAGAGACCATCCATATACCTTTCCCATTTGATGAATCAGAACTACAAGGAGGTACCTTACTTTTAAATTGTATGCGTATGACTTTATCATTAAGCATGACAACAGTTCGTTGGGAAATAGAGCAGGAAGTGACTTCTTAAAATCCTTTAAGTTGTAGGGCCTTGTCACTCTGCTGTTAAAGTGTATTGGCAAAAGGTAGGTTCTAGCTCACTGCCACCCTGTGTCCGGTAGAACACAGCACTGCCTGGTCCTGCGTCGTCTCGTAGTCATCGCTGTGTCTGAACCCGTTGTTGGGGCCTGCTCACCAGTCCTTCCCCTTCATGGTCTTCCTCTGTTTCATCAAACATCATGCCCCTTTCCACGGACTGGGCCTCCTGATAACACATCTAAAGAACTTGGACAAAGGCTCTCCATCCTCACCTTTCAGGAACATTATGGCAGGACTTCTTCCAAGACAGATTTGTTTGTTCTTTTGGCATTCTGTGGTACATTTCAGTTTTCTTTGTCAACGACATAATTCAAATGCATCAGTTCTTGGGTCTTTCTTCTTTGTCCATCTGTCATGTGTCTGAGGGATGATAGGTGATTTGTATAAACCATGAATTGAGTCAGGTGTACTTTAGTCCTCAGGGTGATATCATTTCATTTAAACACTTCATAAAGAAAACAGACAACTTTATAAAGATCTTTTTTTGTCAGATTTGTCCAATTCAAATGGAATACCAAAAACCCAAAAGCTTACTGTTCTTGTGTTCACATTTTGGCTCATAGCAACCCTGTAGTTGAACTGCCTGTACAGAACTGCCCATAGTGTTTCCAGATCTGTAAACCTTTGTACATTGAAACAGTCTGTTTCCTTTTTCTTAACAGAGTAGCTGATGGGTTTTAGCTGCTGACTTTTTGGTTAAAAACCAAGCCCTTTAACTTCTGTGCCACTAGAGCTCATTTGAGGATAGGACATTTATGATAATTCACCTAACATCACATTGATTGGTTATGGATATAAGCATATTGTTAACTTTAGTTTTAGTAAGAATAATACCATCTTTTCTGAGACTAAAAAAATACGTGATGTACTTTAAGGTGTTTCTTGGTGGAAGTCCTCCAAGTATTCATATTTGAAACAAACTACAAACACATAAAGAAGTCTGGAGAATTTACTGCTAACTGGTCCATTTTACTTCCAGGAGAATAGGGATTTGTTCTGATAAAACCAGTGTCTCCTGAGGACTGTGTTTGTGATACATGTTACGTACAGCATCCTTTTACATTCACAGATCCTTCTTTGCAGAAGTGGATCCTGATAGCTAAAAGTCTAAAGAAGTGTAAGAGTAGTTCAAAGAGTTGTTTGATAAAAGAAAATTGCATTTAAGTGTCCTGCTGTTCTCAAACTGTTCACTTACAGCATGATGTCAACTCTGTGTTCTCAGAGTTTACCCGGGTCAATATGGGGGTTCACAAAGCATTGCAGACTTTGAGGAGCAAAGTGGACCTGCAGCACTTTTGTGGCTACGTCACGATGCTGAACGCCTCTAGTCATCTTGCACACCGAAAGCTCAGCGATGCTTCCGATGAGAGAGGTAGGTCAGTGGGGTTTTTAATTAGAAATAATTGGGTTTTGAGTTTAGTGTGGTCTCAATCTGACTAGACATTCACAGGGATGATAGTGTGGAAGATGCATAGAAGTGGCTTGAACCAGAGCAAGGAAATAAGCCGAAAGATGCTAATAGTAATGATCTAGGTGAGAGTCTAAGCTTGTGTTTTATCTTTTCAGTCTCATTTACTATGTAGCCCAGTCTCAGTGTTATTACCATTTTGGGCTGAATGATCTTTGTTGTAGGAGGCTGGCCCTCGCATTATAAAATATTTAGCATCTCTGCTTACCTTTAGCATTCTGTGCCCCTAGACATGATGCCTAAACATGTCTGTTGTTTTTAGGTGCCATTGAATCGAGTATTCAATGATCCTATGAACCACAGATCTGAGCTCTGTCCTACCCTGTGCCATCCTTACAGCCAGATTACCCCAGTTGAGAACCAACCACTGCTTTAAACCAAAGACTGTTAATTTTTTTCTTCCTTATCATTACCATGTCTTCTATGTCAAAACTGGTTTGGTGACAGGTTATGCTACTTGAATCCTAATACAGTGTGTGTCTTCTGAATTATAAGGAGAGCATGATTTGGCTTCTGGCTCAGATGTAAATGGAAGTACAGAATCCTTTGAAATGGTCATTGAGGAAGCAACTATAGATTCAACCACAAAGCAAAACTTTGGTAAGGCTTTGAAAATGGTTTACAATTTGATTAACTTTATTTCTAAATTTGAACTTTTCTGCTAAGGCATTTGTGTTAAGACATTTTCTGTTACTTTGTCATTTGTATTAACATAGATTTCTGATATTTTTTGCATATATAGAAAACTATTATGAAAACATAATCAAAAAAGAATGACTCAGTGTTATTATTCCTATATCCATTCTCTTATCTTACAGTATCCTTTATTGGCAAAAGAGTACTTTAAATATCTCTTGAAAGCAATGTACCTTCTTCCCAGAAACATGTCCTTACTCAAAAAATAGTTACCCTCTCCAAGAGTTCCGGTGGCTCCTTCCGAGCTTCTTTCCCTTCCCACACTCACTGGTGGTGTCACTTGGGTAGGAGGAACCCATGCACCTGAGGTTCGGAAGCCTGGGTCAACCATGGGGCCTGTGTGTGTGACTAAAGCACTGAGTTCATTTCTCTTTTCATAGGGGCCACAGCAGAAGCCGACTGGGTTCCTCTCGAATTGTGCTTCGGAATTCCACTGTTTAGTTCTGAGTTAAATCGGAAGGTTTGCAGGAAAATTGCTACACATGGCCTTTGCAGAAAAGAGAGGTAAGAGTTTATTGTTGTTTTTCATTTGCTGGATTTTTAATTCACTGTAGTTACTGTAGCTTCCTTTATTTTATTCCACACAGAGTTAATTACCAAGTATATTTTGGAGATTGAATACAAATTGCTCGTATAAGGGTTTCACGTTTAGGAGATTAGAAATTAGACGTGGAAACACATGTTTGAGGCAATTAATAATATTTTTGCTTTGTTGCCTAGTTTCAGTGAAGGTGTCGTGGAAATGTTTCTGTTTATATAGAGTGTGACCCTAGTTTTTAAAATAAAAGACTGTCTATAGAAAATTGTCTTACACAATTTTCTTTCACTCTTTTCCTTAAAAAAATATTTTGTTGAGAACTTGTACAGCAGAACATACACTAATGCAGTAGTGTTCTGAATGTACCCTTTAGACACCAATTATGTTCCTTGAGCTACACAACCATTTTTACCTTCTGTTTGTGACTTGTTCCTTCCCTCTTAATGTAATTTGTTGCTCTCTTACATGTCTGTCTAATTTTTCAAGTTGTTGTCACTTTGTACTTTTGAGAATTATTTGTATGGAATCATAATGCTCATCATATGCAAGTTCTGACCTGTTGGGAGGAGCTGCTAACGACAGTATTGTAAAGATCTTGAGATTCTCTAGGCTAGAAGGCAAGAGTACCAGTGAATGTGTGTCACTGGGAATGTTACAGGGAGGCGCAATTTAGGTAGCTTGTGTCAGAAAATGAAGTATGTAATTGGCAAATAATTTGAACATCTATAAGGGAGCTCTGTGGCTTAGTGGTAAGGAATTGTCTTTCCAACCCAAAGGTATATGGTTCAAATCCACGAGCTGCTCTGTGGAAGAAAAACGAGCAGTCTCCTCTTGTGCAGTTACCCGCCCTGAAAACCCACTGGAGGATCAGCTGTGGGTCAGTTACGACTTGACCTCGAGTTGTGCACAACACCACAACAGTGTCTATGAAGAAACACACATGAACACTTTTTGCAAAGTGGAATAACTAAAAGATTATAAAGATCATTATTACAGTTAATAATCTGGATTCTTTTAAATGAAAGCATTTCATTTAGATGCGGTAATGTTTATTAAGTTTTATCAGGTTGTATTTGAAATGGATTTGGAGATTTAAAGTTTATATGATAGTTGCCGTCTCTCAGAGTGCCTCAAGACTTCATTTTAAAAGCTTTATTTCATTTAACATTTGTATCAGTTAATTATGAAACAATTTTTAACAACATCTCTTCTGCATTGGCTATTCATACTTTTTAAATTAACATCTTACTAAACCATGCAAAAATATTTCATTGATAAAAAGCAGTCAAATTGTTTTAAGGAATTTTTCAGATTATTCTATATGTGTATAAATGCATTTAAATTTCTAAAATGAAGCTATTATGAGATATCCTTATCACTGTATTTTTCTTCTTTTTTTCAGCCTTCAAAATCTCTTACATTCCAGTAGAAAACTATCTCTACAAGTCCTCAACTTTGTTCACTCATTCCAGGTAACAGAAATTTCAAATGAGGTTCTCTTAGCACATTTAGGGAGCTCTGATGGCCTAGGCAGGAAGCTGTGCTGCAATCCCAAAGGCACATAGTTCATAACCACCAGCTGCTCCGTGGGAGAAAGATGGGCATTCTCTTCCTGTGTGATTTACTGCTTCTGAAACCTGCCAGAGGGTCAGCTCTGTTCCAACTGCATGGTATACAACGAGAAGCCCATTATAATGTACAGGCCATTTTAAGTCTTCATGATAGGCAGGAAGCATTCGCTTCCTTTGCTGATTCCGAGCTGCCATGCCCACGATTCCCTGGACCAGCTCTGCTGAGTCTCAGGCATGGGCCATGTGTTCTCTGGCAGGACCTCATTCAGCAGAAATGTGGCCCTAGCTCACTACTGTTGGTGCTCAGCTATGGCGCCCTTCCACTAAGACAGCGGCAGTGAGTGGTCCACTGTTGGAGTGAGGGCCAGGGCTCAGCGTCTTTTGTCCTTTCTTCTCCGTCAGGGAGGAAAGGATTCTCTAGACTATCCCTAAGTACATATACTGTTTCAATGGAACATTTCTATTTAGAATCTCCAGTCCATCATTAGGAATTCGTCAGTATTTTAAGTTTTGTTTCATTCGCCATTCAGGAAATACTTGAGTAGCTGCTCTGTGGACAGCTCTGAGCCAGATGCCAGGTGCTGGCATAAAGTGGTATATACACCCACTAATGGAGCTGATGAGGTGTGTGTGAGAGACAGGAGCCAAGTCACCATTAAAATATGTACGTGACTTTAGATTTCAGTAAGTGCATTAGGTTCCACGGTGAATGCAGAGGTGGGCCTATCTAACTAGGTGTAAAGGTGAAATAGTGTATTAGCAGAAACCTGAAGGCTGGAAAAGAGTTTTCCAGAGGGCTTGGTGGAAGTTTAAGTCCTGTATTAGGAGCACAGTCAGTGTATAAGGAGACAGAAAGATGCCAGTGTAAGTGAAGTCTCCTGAAAAGTGGTAAGGTTGAAGAGAAGGGCCGGACCTTGTGGAATACATTCAAGAGTTTGTGTTTCATGCAGTTTGCAGAAAGAAGCTATTAAATATTAGAGACTTTTCAAGAGGAGAGTCACATGACTCCTGACGGCCTATAAAGGTTACCTTGGTGACTGACTGGGGAATAGCAAGAGCAGAAGAGGAGTTAGGAGACTTGTCAAATCAAGTGAGCGCTGTCCGTAGCTGTGCCCTCTCCTCAGTTTTAAAGAGTTGAGCATGTGTATGTATTAAGGTGCGTTTATTACACATACACACTGCTATGACAATCAGTTGTTTCTATTTTTCAAATAATAGTATATTGAATTTTTACAAGGATGCCATAGATAAGTATAGATACGCTAGTGCTTTGTTTGCGTTACCATCTCAGTGACCCCTCTGCTCCTAACTGGCACTTGTAGGGAAAGTATCTCTCACACTCCATCATTCTCATCAGTTAGATTGCACAGTTGTGGTTTTCTTTTTGTTGTTGTTTTTTTAATTGAGATTTTAAGAAAAGATTATAGAGAACTTGGATTTCTATTTATTCATTGTTACATTGCACACTTTTTACACAAGGGTTGGTTGACAAGAATTTTCTCACATTTCTTGATCTTTAGGAAGGTGCTTCAACACTGGATGTCCACACAGAGGCCAGTTTCCCCAGTGTGTTCTCACAGTCATCGAATGCTGATACAGGAGTCCCGCTTCCTGCCAAGAACTTGATGTTTAAGGATGGAGTCCTGTCAGAGTGGAGTGGCTGGTCTCCCTCCTCACTTCTTATTGCTAATCTCCATTTGCAATAATTTGGTTCCAGCCTTTGTTGCTCACACGCTCTGCCTTTTTCTTTTTTAGCTTTAGCTTTCTCGGCCCCGCCACTAAAAAGCATCCTTCTGCTGCAGAGTCATTCGTGCTTAACTGACGTCCAAAGTATAGGGAACATGGTAATGTTTTCCGGAGTGATACTCATTGCCGCACATCCTAATGCAACAGAGAGCTTTGTAGCAGCCAGCACTGCATTTTTTACCTTGAGACAATCTGCATTTCTTTTATAAAACTGAGGATATACTTTATAGGCTTTATGAAGACTGTTATGTTTATAAACAGTCACTATGAATATTGCAATGGTAATTTTATATGTTAGTTTATCAAACATAAACCTTGTTTAATTTTCTATTTTGTTACTGAGACTCTTAGTGGGGTGGGAGGGGGATCATGGGAAGAGATAGACCTCTTCTTCTGAAAAAGGCTTCTTGATACTTAAATTAGAAAAACTGTAAAACAAATAACCCGTGAGAAGTGATTGGGTGAGGCATTAGGAATACCTGTAGGTAAAAAAAAAAAAAAAAAAAGAATACCTGTAGGTATCTGTAAATTATGTATATCCGTTTAATAGTGTTGAGGGTATGTATGTCAGCATCGTTATGTGTAACTTAACCTTGATTTATAAGGTCTTAATGATTCATTGACATCTCACAAAAAGCTTTGGAAAACGTTCTATTTTTAAACAATGTTTGTACGTGGAATTCTGTTGTCACACACTATGGGCTTTATATTTTTCATAGAGTCTTTATGGAAAACTAGATATTCTCCCAATTTAGTAGCTCTGGCCGCTGTGCGTTTTCGCCCTGGTTTATCTTTGTTTAGTAGCTATACCAATGATTGGTTATGAAATGGAATCTGATGTTTTTAAACCAAGTTGTGATTGGGGTCAGGACTGCACATTGGAAGCATGGAGATTATGTCTTAGAATCAGAACATGCTAGTGATAAGCTTACTTTCACAATAAATTCTTAAGCAATCTGGATCTTAAATTTATGTGAATAGTTTTGGAAGGAACTTATAAAGGAGAAATTGAAAATTTCCAAGTGTTTCTTGGATCATTGATTGTTTTAGTATCTCAAATGCTAATAAGAATAACTGGAATTGCTTTTTAGATATTGCAAGTCACCTTCCTTAGGAAGTTTGTGCAGTGTTACTGTCTAGTTTCTCCCTAGAGTAATAATTGCTGGCTACTTTAAAACTGTAATCAAATGAACTGGTCAAACAATGTGTATCTAAAATACGTAAAGCATTAGAAATTTTGGGAATGTTAAAAGCTAAACATTTTTTGCTGATAATTTTTAGTTGTTTTCTAGAACTGATATTTGTGTATTTAACATACTTCTGGAAATATATGCCTTTCTTAAAACTGTTAACATAACCATGCATTCAATACTGTGGCCTACCTGTAGAATTGAATATTTTGGACCAGGCTACCTTTGGCATAGCCAGTGCAGTGTTTGGGATAAATGCAGTAACGTTTAGTTTTCTACTTTGTCTTATATGAGGTAGAAGCCGAGTGTATGTTATAAATGTTTATCTATGAAAGGAAAAAATACATACTAATATTAAAATAATTTCTTATAACTGTGAATCACTCATTTATTTTTCCAGTAATTGATACTGTACATTCCTAGTGCTCTTAGACCTGTATGTAACTTTTCTAGTTTTTCACTTCAGAGTTGTAAAATACTGCATCTGATCAGGCCTCTTCAGTCTTACTTGTTTTGCTCACATTAGCTATATAGTGTTTTATATGTTCACATATTAGCAGTCTTAAGTCTGATGGGATGACATGTACACTAATAAAGAATGCATATTTGTAGACATTGGAAGTGAACCCAGCTGGTGAATTTACACACTTAAAATAATGAAAGCGTTTTGCTGCTATATTTCCTTTGAGGGATAATGGCGGGGGGTGGGGTGGGAGAACCTAACATGATCATGACTTTTGGAGAAAAGTATCAAAAAAACACAGTCGCCTCTGATTTGTTGTGTATAACGTGGCCCCCGCCCTCTGCTGAGGAGGGAATGTCCACACATACAAGCCGCCAGCAGCGCCGAGGTACTGTTGCTCTCCCTGCTTCAGTTTGTGAACTTGTCTTTATTTTGTTTGTACACTAAATTATGTGAAACGTATTTCCTTAATCTTAGAAATAGTGATACGGTTCAACAGATCGGTAAATTTAAAACTACAAACGTTATGATTTGCCAAAGAAGAGTCATTACTTTTGATCCCAGTTTTTCTCCCCAAGTGTTTAAAGTGATGTTTGACTTTATTCCCTTACCCTTAATGTAGATTAAAGCCTGGCAGACATTAATTAAAAAAGAAGAGAAGAACATCAAAAAGCATGGGGACGTTAATATGGTACAATTTTACCTCTCAAGTGGGTCTACAGAAGTGCTTCTTAACTTCATTTTTTAAAAGTAGGGTCATCTGATTTCCTTATTTTTTTTTTAATGTGATTAATTGATTTTGCATTTCTTTGGGGGAGGAATGTCAGTTTCTCTCAATGTTTTCAGTTTTCCTTGCCACTCATTTCTGTTTGCGTCCAGTGTTCCAAACACAGTTTGTATTTAAATATTTTAAAGTATGGAAACTGTAACTGAGTACAGTGACATTGTTCTCTGGTATGATGTTCCTAGTATACAATGAAGTGTATGAATTCGTTGTCAATTTGATTATTGACACTTACAACATGTTTACAAATAAACTGTGGTATTATCAAGTTCTTGTGAAAATGTGTATGATCTTGTATAAATCCTTTCTAAATCTCCTTAAGGTACAACCGTTCTTTTAGTGCTATGTTCTTTATATATATATGCGCGCGTGCGCGCGCGCACACACACACACACACACATGTTTTATATAAAACTATAAGAATATAAGAAATTATGTAAAACATACATAAAATAGTAATAGAAAATAAGTTTGTAATTTTGGGATAATTTAGGAGTATACAGTGTATGTTGTGCTTTGAGCTGGAGGGTAGGTAGGACAGGGTCCTGATCTGTTTATAGAGTCCCTACAAGTTGTAGTCAGTCAGTGCTGCCTAACAGTAATAATGTACAGCATAATTTTATAAGATATACATAAAAGTAATTGCATAAAATACGTAATAGTCATTGTATTTTGGAATAACTTTAGGTTCATAGAAGAAGTTGCAAAGATAGAGGTGTTCTTTCCACTCTTCCCTGAACTTCTCCTAGTGATTACACATTACATACATGGTGCATTTATCAAAGTGAAGAACTGATCCTTGCTGCGGTACATTGACTAAGCTGACTTCTATTTGGTTTTCCTGTTCTAGAACCTTCTCCAGGACCATGTTTCACTTAGCTGTCACTAGTTCCTTCATTTTGTCAGACTTTTGTACCCTTGATACTTATGTGGGGTACCAATCAGGGATTTGTGTGAGCTCGCGCAGTGTATGTTTGCCTTATGTTTTCTTGTGCTTAGATCAAGGCTGTACTTGGATCAGGAACAACCCTACTAGGGTGTGTCCCCTTCTTGGGATAACTTTAGTCCGATGATAGCGTTTGTGTTGCTGGGGATGGCCCTTCACTGGCTTAACCTGGTGGTGTTTCTCCATAGTTAGTTCCCCCACTCCCCGTTTCCATGCACTCACCTTTGGTAGTGGATCACAGAGCCCACCCACTCGGGGAAGGACTAAGCTCCACCTCCTGGAAGTACACTGTCCACTACCTACATCATTTTAAGTTCTTAAAATTTTCCACTTTCCCATTTGTAGGACCATTTGTTCATATTAACGTAGCTGCAGGACAGGTTCTTCTAGTTTGCAAGGTTGTAGTCTGGTAACTATTAACTGACTTTGTTGTGCAGCTTGTTCTGGGGGCTTCTTCAGGTTGCCCCGTCTGCTATTTTGGCATGCCTCCATCGTCCCTGCCCTCAGCACTTTCTTACTTTCTGGCCCTGCCAGCATTTCCCCCTCCCCAGCCTTAGACCCAGCAATTTTCCAAGGAGCTTTTTTTTAAAGTTCCTTTTTTTGGTGAGAATAATATTTTGAAGTCAGGATCTGGATGTTGGGTGTGTACTCATTGCTATTGCAGTGTCATTGCATCTATGCCTAACTCAGTGAACTGAGCTAGAAAAGATATTTTGTATACAAGCCTGTGCTACTGTGAGATGTACTTGTCACATAACAGCAATCTGGAATTTATTCAACACACAGGAGTTTTTGCTGACAGCAGTCCAGCACATAAGGTCCATTTTAGTCTTCCTCCTTTCCTTAGTTTGAGTGAAACTTGGCTTCTTTTATCTACAATTATTTACTTTGGTGTTTGAAGTTGTTTCAGAATAGCTAAGTGAGAAATGGGCTGAGCAGAGCGCATTGCTTCGCCGTTGTTATTGTAAGGATTTTGCCATTCCTCGAGGGGACGGCCTCCAGGGAACACAGTTGGACTCACTTGTCACACGGCACTTTTGTCTGGTTGATGGACAGCCTGCCGGGGTGTTCGTCGTTCAGTAAAGATCATTGGTTGATTCTTTTTAATAAACATACTTCTGGTCTGCAGCCAGCACTGCACAGAGCAATTCCCTCACCCTGAAGTCCTGCGTGGGACCCCTCCGCGCATCCATTGTAGCACTGACCAGGCAGTCAACCCTGTAGGTTTGTTTTTACTGGGGGTGTCATATAAATTGTGAAATGACATCATTTGTACCATTTTATGCCTGGCTTTGTCAACTACTGAGATTCTCCTAAGACGACGTATGAATCCATAGCTTGTTCCTTTTTACAGCAGAGTCGTCGTTAAGTGTCGTTGAGTCGCAGGCGACTTATAGCGACCCTATGAAGGAGAGTCCTCGACGCTTGGGTGCCTTTCTTCCTCTCTCCAGGTTCATAGGGTTTCCAGAGGCAAGCTATTATTCAGTTGAGTCATTACATAGATGTTTTGTATCACAGTTGATCCATTCACCCATTAAAGGGCAACTTGGTAGTGTTCGTGTTTGGTGATTTTGAAG